GTATTATTAATAAATATTGTGTATAAAAGTAATAGGCGTGAATAAATTGCGAACGCCGGGACAGGGAGTATGGAGTGCTGTTAGGCACGACCGACTGTCCTGTTCTGCAATTCACTGGTAAGATTTCTTATCAGTTCCGGGTACTTTCATATGCAAATGAATAGTCGCGCAGATGTCTATCATTTTATTGTGGCCAATCGTGAAATGGGTCAGGGATGGCTGACTACTAGGATTGGCCACGACTTACGCGAAGTTTGTTTTGACTGTACTGTGCTGGAACGTTAAAACTACCATGATATTTCTTGCAAAGAATACCAGCAAGACGCTATCGCAAACTACACAGAGGGGAGAGATGTGTTTGTCATTAGACCCAAGGACTGTCAACAGTCTAATCTGGAGTCATTTCTGAAATATTCTTTGATGACTGTTCTCAAATAATTAGCATTAGTATGTCAACATTTTTATTAACTAGAAAGTTTTTGACCACATTGTGGCCATTTTAAATTGAAAATAGTTAAAAATAAAAATTTTTCGGACAGCATTGTCAAATCTTGCATGCTGATTGAACATGATATTGAACATGCTTTTACTTTCTTTGTTTTTTTTCGTTCCGATTTAAAGTGATCAATTGTTGTCCATTTTAATATTTTTTAATATTTTGGACATGCCTGAAGGAACAGTTCAACCTTTGTACTTGTGTATCATAACATATATATGCCCTTACAGTAATTTTGTCATACAATCAAAGATTCCTACTTCGTCTCACACATGTGTAATTTTCAAACTAATTGAAGGTCTGAAACGAGGGCTGTGCTATTATGCATGGCTTGTTTTTTCCTGAATTTCACCACTGCACAGCGCCCTCTGTTGTCAAATTGATGAAACTTTAAAATTTGTGCTTCATCAAATATTTTAGCCCAAAAAACAATCGCCTGTTTTTTGAAACACAATTTGGCCAGAAACATTTTTTGAAAGTCTAACACTGACCTTTCTATAAAAAAAAAAAATACAGTATTTGGAGGAAAACTTGTCTTTTGTGTTTTCATTTGTCATAGTGAATTATCATTATATTTTGTGTAGGTTATTAATGAAATGGTGTCTCAAGTGAAAACTGTGCCCGGGATTTCTCGTGTTCTGTACGATATGACGGCGAAACCACCAGGTACCACGGAATGGGAATAAAAACAGATCTGAAATATACTCATAGAGGTGCAAGCTGATTTTAAAGACAATAGAATTTTATATGAAAGAGTGAAATTTTATTATAGAGTTGAACTGAGTCACCCCTCTCCATATGTTAGTGGTTCAACCCATTTGTGAGTTCCCTTCTTTGATTTACCGAAAGTTTGATGTTCTTTTTGTTTTGTCTTTGTATTTCATGCTCCTGAAGAAAGGTGCTGCAAAAACAAAGAAAAATTGGGGAGGGTGGCACTTGTATGGAATAGCCATTGATGTTGGCTCTTCCATGTATCATTCTGTCTATGGGTTTAGTGTTGAATTTAAAAGTTTTTTTCTTTTAAATGCCAAAGTAAATTATTGTTGCTTTTAACAAAAACCGGATGTTTTTCATATTTTTTTTGAAAATTCTGATCAGGACCTACTAAATATTTCATTTGGTGCAAAATTAATAATGAAATTTTAGAAAAATGTTTGCTGTGAAAAATAATGGCTTTCAAAGGTAACACGAAATACTTCATTTACAAGACTTGTAAGTTTAATTTTGAAAGTTTCTAAAAAATTATTTATTTTGTGTTGTGTGTACGTATAAAGTAATTTCTTTTTTTTCCATTTTTTGACTCCCATGTGTGCACAATGGAAGTCTTTGTGGTTAGACCGTCTGTGTGTATGTCGTAGTGTATTGTGTGTTCCACTGATATCTCAGAAACTAATCATCAAACTTCATAGATATTCTTGAACAATGCGCAAGAATATTAATTAGCTAAATTCAGCTTTCCCAATGATATCTGCATTTCAATAAAACTTGTCACATAGATGCCCGAAGGACAAAGCACAGATGTGATTAGGTTTATGCTTAAATTGGTTACATGTTAATTACCTAATTTGCATAATAATTATTTTTCAGCTTTCCCGCTATTATCTCAAAGGCTAATTTTTGCATTTCAATGAAACTTGGTAGTATATTTTCTGTGACAATGCACAGAATTTACTAATTTTTGGTTAAAATTCCTGTACATATAATTACCTAATTTGCATAATAATTACCCAATTTTCCAATGATATTTCAAGAACCACTCAGCAGATTCAACAGAACTTGAACATAGGTGCTTTTGACTGAGCCATATACGTGTTATTACCTTGTGTGTATAAATTTAATCCGTAGGTTTTCCGCAGATATCTTCAAATATCTTGATCATACCCCTCATCAAATTGCAACGAGGCTTGATACATAGTTGCTTTTGGATAATCCACAGCTTTGATCACTTTAGGGTTGAAACCATGCATATTAATTACCTACTTTGTATAAACAGGGTCATGTGACCTCATTAATATGCATAACTGTAATATCCTAAATACTATTGTGAATGAGACCATGCAACTAGTACTACTAGCATAATTGTGTTGTCGGACAGGATATATGACCAAATATCAAGTTGTCATATATAGTCATGATTTCATTAAATATTTATAATTGTCATACCATAGTCATTTGAAAACTACCCCTGCTCAGTATTTACATTTATATTTTTAAATGCCGTATTTGTTCTATTAAAAGCACTTGAATGTGAATGACAAAGACAAGTCAAAGTGAAACAGTCTTCAGCGGTTTTGTATGCACCAAATACAATTTTTGCTTTATATGTATTGGAGTGCCTCTATGGTAGTATAGTAAATACTGTATTCTCTAATACCTTCAGCACGTGGGAGTTCTTTCTAAGCTTTCTTTGATTTGTTCATTAGGCCAGACTTTTTTTATTCCTTGTTTCGCGAGTTTTTATAAGGCAATTTTTTTGAGGAGGGCGAAAATAAAATAAAATTAATTCTTTTTTTCCATTAGATTTGTGTGATTCTCATTTTCGGCTCCTGTTCATTCGACGGGTTCGCGAAACAAGGGATAATAAAAGTCTGGCCTTATATCATTTAAAATTATAGTGTATTTTAGTTGACACATTCTCATCATGAAAACAAATGTTTGCAGT